TTATAATATTACTTTAAATTTTCCTTATTTGTAAAAATATATTTGTGGCTCTTGAATTATTTTTAAATTGTTGTGAGGGACAGGATTGGCTCTTCTGTCTCAAAACTTTGCCGAGCCCTGCCCTGGAGCCTGTGGTGTTTGCAGTTTTCAAAGGTTCCGATTTAGAAGGGAGTGGTATAAACAAGATTGTACTGAAGATAGGACAGTTAGACCCTCTTTAGCTAGAGCTTTTGCCATTGCAGTTTTGCGTCAGACTGGCTAGGTGTTTTGAAGTACACCCAGATGTGACCAGCCATGCCAACAGGAGGAGTTAGGCACGGACACTGTGAGCCTATGCCCTCTCCTCACTGCTAGTGCCGGGGAGCTTATTATTCACTCTCCCAGTAACCTGGCTATGGCTTTACATGGTTTTCACTTTGCGCACATTCAAAGCACCCTCTCTGTCTTGGGACAATGAGCCTAATGGGGTTGGATCCTGGCTTATGCTGTTCCAGCTGATGAGGAGCAGTTACGGTATTTAGATTAGCCTTTCTCAACTGGGTTCTGTGACAGAATTAAAGCTACTTAAATACTTGGACTGTTTTCTCAGTTCTTCTAAGAATGGTATACAGCTAAATGCCATTCTAGATCATAAAGAAGTTAATTTGTTACATGCCTAAACTGGTGCTTTGGCCATTAGGGATTAATTTCTACCTTGAGCACCAGGTCGAGAAGGGCTTTGTATGGCTCCACTCTTAAGAGTTTATGCCACCTGATACTAGCACAGCACTTTACTGTGACCTAGCTAAAGCAATTTGAGGCAGTTAGGTGGATAGATTCTCATTGGTGATCATGAAATACTCAAAGCAAGAAATCCTTTTCTTCCCCTTTGTAGGCCAGAGAACATTTTTGCCTCAGAATTAAGGGCCTTAAGTCAGAGAAGAAAGGGAGAGAATGTGATCCCAATTGGGGTTTATATTTGCTCTTGAATGTGTGAAGTGCATGGATTACTATATAATAACATTACAATTGCTCTACTTAGCATCTGTGATATTGAAAATTCTGTGCTAACTCCTCTACTAATGTTAATGCTCTCTTTACCAATTTCTAAGTGTTTTTCTCTATTCAAAACTCTCCAAAACCCTTTAACCAGAGTGGAGGAAGATACTTTGGTATTAACCAAGTGGAAGAAACTTGTGGGTTAGACTTTTACATTTATTCTTTCCTTTTTTAGAGCTAAGCATACTCTTTTTTTTTTTTTTTTAAAGATTTTTATTGGGGAATCGGGGAAGGGGAACAGACAAGTTGCTGTCCTTTTTGTTCTTCAGTCTAGTTGTGGAGTATGTCGCTTCACTGGCCCATGTTGGTATTATCATTGCGCTCTTCCCAGGTGAGGCAGTTGCTCACTGGCCATTGGACGGCCACTCGCTGCGGCTCATGAAAGCACACGCCGGCTGCTGGCCAGCCCTACTACAGCCTACGCCGTGGTCGGCGACTCACGGCAGCCCAGCTCCAGGTGGAGCTGTTGTTCACCATCTTAGCTGTAGAGGGCGCAGCGTCACTGGCCCATGTGGGATCCGAACCGGGGCTCTGCTGCTCAAAGCTGACGTCCCAAGCCAACTCTTAACCAACGCACCACTTGGCCAGCCCAATAAGCATACTCTTTTTAGCAGTTGTTTTTGCCTGAGTTCCAGTGAGCCTGAACACAGGAAGAGGAATTAGCTTTCGGGTCTGTCAGGGACTGGAGCTGATATTTCCAGGAGAGGAAAAGTTAGTTCTGAGTCAGAGAATGAATATCCTCACATTTATAGAACTGGTGAAAAGTCTAATTTTTCTGTTTTCATTCTATAAAAGAAAGGGAACACTCTGAGCCAGGTAAGCAATAAGAAAACAAATCTTTAAAGGAAAACCAGTCTTCTTGATACCTCTCCCATGAGAATTGAGTCCCATGGGGCTTAGCTTAATGTGAATCTTTTGTGTTAGCCTGGCAAAGAAGGGAATATATTTGCAACCTAGATATAGAAAATAGTTTGCTTTTTTTACCTAGAGCTTCCAAGTAAATTGAAATTATCTTAATGTGCTAACATCTTTGCATGTCGAGCCCATGTAATTCAGGCTTAATCTTTGAAATGACTACTAAAAAAGTATTAATTTGCTGTCAACTCCTGTCCTCATTCCTTCGTCTCTTTTCACTACTTCCCCTGGTCCCCACTGGGAGGCGTGTGTCAAACTGGTCCATTCTGAGAGTGTCCTCTCCTCCCTCTGGATTTGAGTAGCTGCTGTAGAAATTTTCCATCTGTCGTTCAGTCCTAGTGAGTGGCTTGTCAAAGGCTCAAATATTTCTTCTCTAAGTATCTTTTCACTGCCTGTCACTATTCATCTGTCTGTTTTTGCCTTTCCCCTTTTCCTGGATCATTACAAGCAAGCACAACAAAGGCTTTCATTCTGTCATACAGCTTTCCCTTTTAATGTGTTTGTTGAAGCTTATTGGAGGTGAAGTTCCTCACAGCTGTCTGTCTTTGTATCTTTCTTTGAATCTTTTCTGTACCCCAGATTTATTAGAAAAAGTTGACAGATCCCATTAAAGGGACAAGTGAAATACGTGAAATGAGGCACGCCTGTGATAATGTATTTATGAAGCTTTAGGAGAGTGCTTTTTTTTTTAAAAAAAGCATTGGCTTTATTTCTGTCTACCATTGGCTAAATGATTATCTTGGACAGAAGACAAGATAATTAAAACTGTCGTGTCTTTTTTTTTTTTTCTTTTGTCATGTCTTTAAGCACTTGCTTCTTCAATGCTGATGTTTACGTGCCACTATAATAAAAGAGATATAAGTTTAATACAATGAAGATAAATGTTATTAAATTTAATGTTTGCATATTCCTACTGATTCCAAAATTTAGGCTTAAAACTATTTAGCTTTTATTTTCAGTGATGGCTTTTATTGTTCCCCCTATTATAGACATTTGTTTTTTATTTTATAAATGCCAGGTAGTCCCATTTTCCTCTTTGACCAAATACTTCAAAAGATAGGATTTTAGTTCCAATTCTATGATCTCATCTATAAACTGGTATGATTATGCCTGTTTGCCTATCTCAAAGGTTGTTATCAGAATCAAATCACATAGCATATGTCAGAGTGCTTTGAAAACCACAAAGTTTGTTTCAAATGTAAGGGAGTAGTGTTGTTATCATAATTTTGGTTCTGATTATAGCACAAATAGTTAGCCTTTAAAGATAAGTGTAATTTTGCCATAAATTTGGGTCCTATATATATAAGGCTCTTTTTTCCATTGTTTCCAAATTATGGACTGATTCTTCCCAATTAAACTAGCTTCCAAAAGTTTAAATGGCAAAATACATGTATTCATATCTATAACTAGCCTTTTAAGCAAGAGCTTAAAAGGACATGACAGTCTTATTATTTTGTCCCACTAAAGAGCTGTTTTATATTTAATAGTTCTAGTTTCCTTAACGCCTTTGGAACTTTCCCATGAGTTGCCTAAAAGCTTCCAGTTTGGGAAGCACTGAGCTGTGGCCTTCCAAAATGGCTTTTCTTTGAAAATTCTTTGAGATGATGCAAGAAAAGTTGCTATAGAATGCCGGCCGAGTGGCTCAGTTGGTTAAGAGCTCGCTCAAGAGTTTGAGCTCTGAGCAACAGCGGTTCGAGTCCCGACCCCAGNGCTGGCTGCTGGCTACACATGGTAGCCCATGGCAACCCACTGCAGCAGGGGCTGCAGCCTACGCCGTCACCGGCGACTCACGGCAGCCCAGCTCCAGGTTGAGCTGGTTGTTCAGCATCTTAGCTGTAGAGGGCAGAGGGCAGTGTCACTGGCCCTGATATGTGGGATCCGAACTGGGGCCCTCTGGCGTCCCAAGCCAGCTCTTAACCAACGCACCACTTGGCCGGCCCAGGAATCATCTTCTTGTTCTTCAAGAACCCATGCTGTGATAACAGAATTACGTTATTGGAGTGGCTTTTCTAGGATCTGTGTGGTGTTGACCTTCCTCCTTTGTTTCTTTCTGTAAAAGAAAGCACTCAGGGTTATAGTAAATCAAATCAGAAGTAGCATCCCTTGCTCATATAGCTGAAATGTTAGACAATGGAACACTCCAAAGAGAGAAATGGTTACAGGAGCCTGAAAGGACACTTTTATTTAATGTTCAAACCCTTTGTCTGGAATATCTTTCAGGAATATCCTTGGATTCTGAGTGCTTCAGATGATCAGACCATCCGAGTGTGGAACTGGCAGTCTAGAACCTGTGTCTGGTAAAACAGGAGACAGAGAGCTCAAAATATCTTCCTTCTTCCTAGTGTTTTTATAAACAACTTTTCTTCAGAACAATCATCTCCCTCCCCTAATGGGCAGCGTCTGCTGATTAATTACTGATTGTATTTGTAAGATCTTTTACATATAAAATGATAAATATGGAAGTGATCTCATAAGTAATGTATGAGATAAGTAATGTACGGAATCTGGATTTTCCGATCATTTCTTACCAGAGAAATGGTCATATAGCTAGGCTTTTAGAAGAAAACTCTTAGTCGGTTTTTAGTTCTGTTCCCGTTAAACTTAAGGTCTAGACCTTTGTCTTACTTTGTGTTTCGGTCTTGAGCTTTCCGTGAAGATGTAAAGACTATTTAAGAGAGATATTCCACTAAAATTTAACAGATAGTTTGCAGTATGAATTACTAATACTCCATTTATTTTGATATTTTCATATGTTTTTAAGAGGAGAGCTATACAGTCTCAGTTCTCCTGAAATTAGTAATGTTAAATATTAGAGCTAAGAAGAGAGCCATTGTTAAAAAAGCTGACCTTGCTCATTATTAGTTCAGAATTGTTAGGATGACTTGCCTTTGCCTTGAAAAAGGTGTAATCAAATCTGTATCTGTTAAATATGGAGAATGGTATTTAGCTTGTAGCAATCTGTTGATTCCTGCCTCTAATTTGGTATTGTCTTTTTTTTTTTTTCTTTTTTGCAGTGTTTTAACAGGGCACAACCATTATGTAATGTGTGCTCAGTTCCACCCCTCAGAAGACCTGGTTGTATCAGCCAGCCTGGACCAGACTGTGCGCGTTTGGGATATTTCTGGTGAGCTGCCCAATTTCAGGGGACAGTCTAGTCATGTCTGGTGCAAAACTGCAATTGCTTAAAATAATGAGGGTAGTTGACTTAGAACAGGAAAATTTAGAATATTCTGTTCTCATATAATAACATCTTTGTTTCTGAAGGTATTAAATCTGCTTTGATGATTCTTCATGTTAGAGGTATTTCCTAAGAAAAGTGGTTGCTCTAGAAAATTTATTTGATTTGAAGAAAGTTTCACTTTTTATTTATTTATTTTTTATTTTTTATTGGGTAACTGTGTTTTTTCCAGGACCCATCAGCTCCAAGTCAAATCGTTGTCCTTCAGTCTAGTTGTGGAGGGTGCAGCTCAGCTCCAGTTCCAGTTGCTGTTTTTCAATCTAGTTGCAGCAAGGGCAGCCCACCATCCCATGCGGGAATTGAACCGGCAACCTTGTTGTTCAGAGCACGCACTCTAAGCCACCTGGCCACCCCCGAAAGTTTCACTTTTTAGTTAGATCAGTTTCAGTTAAAATCTATATACCATTGGCAAAATTTGATTAAGAATCAAGCTTTCTACTAAAAAAATATTTTTGACAAAAACAAATTTGGGGAATAAATTAGTGCAGGGAAATAGGACTCTTGGATCCTGTGGCTTCATTTAGAAATAGGAAAATCTCTCTTATATTTCTCCCAGTGTAAGGAGCCATGGGGAGGTATGTGTGGGATTATTTCCATTTCCAGAATACTTCTAAATATTAGGACAGACTTCTAGGACCAGGAATTAAAATAAATCCCAGATTTTTGGATAGTTGGTATAATCCCTCCTTTCACAGTTTATATATCTTGATTTTGTAAGAGTATGTATTTATTTTTTAGCTGAGCCATCCTGCCACCTGTTGGCAGCATGATAGTATTTAAATGTTTAGTGCCGAATAGAGGAGATCTGATAAGTTGCTAACCAGAAAATTTAAATGCAGAATGGACTGTAGTTATGAGATTGACATGCTGGATAAATGAAAGTGCTTTGCTGGGAATCAGAATAGGGAAGTGCAACTCTAAATGCTGTGATTCTATGCCCAGTTAAGTTTACTTATCACTTGCTGAATCATCTCTGTTGGTTGCCTTAGAAATTCTTGGAGATTGAGTTCTCTGAAAGGACAGTAGCTAGACTATAAAACACTGTTTTCATTCTGTAAAAGAAAGGCCCCCGCATAGGTCCCTGTCTGGCTCTTTATGGTAATGAAGGAGTCACCCTTCTGCATTGTATAGCCGAGGTGATAACTTTTCCCAATTTCTTTGCGGCATGGTGGGCTGGGACAGTATGGTACTTGTTGTTCCTACAAGCCATTAATGAACAGCAAGTTGAAAATTTGGATTCCTGGGTTCAGCATTTGGAGTGTTGAAATAACAGTTCTTTAAGATTCATGTAGTGGGGCCGGCCGAGTGGCTCAGTTGGTCAAGCGCTCGCTCAAGAGGGCGAGCTCTGAGCAACAGCGGTTCGAGTCCTGGCCCCAGCTGAGCTGCCACTGAGCTGCCAACAGATGGCAGGATGGCTCAGCTAAAAAAAAAACCCTAAAGATTCATGTAGCATAGAAACAAGCCAAAGGGAAGATGAGGACAGTTGGAGAATAGAACCTCTAGAGCAGGGGTCGGCAAACTGCAGCTCATGAGCCACATGCAGCTCCTTGGTTACATACATGTGTGAATTTTTCTTATTTTAATAAAGATGTAATTAATACTATTACTGGTTATAATATTACTTTAAATTTTCCTTATTTGTAAAAATATATTTGTGGCTCTTGAATTATTTTTAAATTGTTGTGAGGGACAGGATTGGCTCTTCTGTCTCAAAACTTTGCCGAGCCCTGCCCTGGAGCCTGTGGTGTTTGCAGTTTTCAAAGGTTCCGATTTAGAAGGGAGTGGTATAAACAAGATTGTACTGAAGATAGGACAGTTAGACCCTCTTTAGCTAGAGCTTTTGCCATTGCAGTTTTGCGTCAGACTGGCTAGGTGTTTTGAAGTACACCCAGATGTGACCAGCCATGCCAACAGGAGGAGTTAGGCACGGACACTGTGAGCCTATGCCCTCTCCTCACTGCTAGTGCCGGGGAGCTTATTATTCACTCTCCCAGTAACCTGGCTATGGCTTTACATGGTTTTCACTTTGCGCACATTCAAAGCACCCTCTCTGTCTTGGGACAATGAGCCTAATGGGGTTGGATCCTGGCTTATGCTGTTCCAGCTGATGAGGAGCAGTTACGGTATTTAGATTAGCCTTTCTCAACTGGGTTCTGTGACAGAATTAAAGCTACTTAAATACTTGGACTGTTTTCTCAGTTCTTCTAAGAATGGTATACAGCTAAATGCCATTCTAGATCATAAAGAAGTTAATTTGTTACATGCCTAAACTGGTGCTTTGGCCATTAGGGCTTAATTTCTACCTTGAGCACCAGGTCGAGAAGGGCTTTGTATGGCTCCACTCTTAAGAGTTTATGCCACCTGATACTAGCACAGCACTTTACTGTGACCTAGCTAAAGCAATTTGAGGCAGTTAGGTGGATAGATTCTCATTGGTGATCATGAAATACTCAAAGCAAGAAATCCTTTTCTTCCCCTTTGTAGGCCAGAGAACATTTTTGCCTCAGAATTAAGGGCCTTAAGTCAGAGAAGAAAGGGAGAGAATGTGATCCCAATTGGGGTTTATATTTGCTCTTGAATGTGTGAAGTGCATGGATTACTATATAATAACATTACAATTGCTCTACTTAGCATCTGTGATATTGAAAATTCTGTGCTAACTCCTCTACTAATGTTAATGCTCTCTTTACCAATTTCTAAGTGTTTTTCTCTATTCAAAACTCTCCAAAACCCTTTAACCAGAGTGGAGGAAGATACTTTGGTATTAACCAAGTGGAAGAAACTTGTGGGTTAGACTTTTACATTTATTCTTTCCTTTTTTAGAGCTAAGCATACTCTTTTTTTTTTTTTTTTAAAGATTTTTATTGGGGAATCGGGGAAGGGGAACAGACAAGTTGCTGTCCTTTTTGTTCTTCAGTCTAGTTGTGGAGTATGTCGCTTCACTGGCCCATGTT